CACAAGTGGGTGCAGGAGTAGATTATATGTGGCTCCTTCAGATGATTTATCTTGAGGTTATCTTGAGATGATTTCGGGGCTTTAGTGTCCCCGCGGCCCGGTCTATCAAATATAAATTTCAATTGGTCCTATCAAATATCAATTGGCCCTATCAAATATCAAATTTGATAACTCTCTCCTGTTAGCTGGCTGAGAGCTTTACAAACAGGTGGGTACAGTACCTGAATAGTACCTGAATGGGGGTTCTGGAAGTTGTTCTACTCCCCAAGCCCGACCCGGGGCCAGGGTCGACTTGTAAGACTTTGATCCAATAGGCTGTTGCTTGGAGCGGCCCGAAGTGGCCCCACATATCCGGCACTTCTTGCAAAAAACTGTCTAGTTTTTTCATGAAGAAATCCACATTTTTTCCGGCAATATTTATTATAATTGCTGGGAGTATGCTAAACTACCGTGGACCTCTGATGTTTATACAGTGTTCTCTGATTGTGCCTATGGCACCTCTGCTCTTCACTGGTTCTATTCTGCATTTTCTTCCATATCGTTCACTCCAGTACGTTGTTATTTTACTGTGTAGATTTGGGACCTGACCCTCCAGTATTTTCCATGTGTATATTATTTGGTATCTCTCTCGTCTCCTTTCTAGTGAGTACATTTGGAGGGCTTTGAGACGATCCCAATAATTTAGGTAGGATGCTTTATCGCGTCTATGCGTGCCGTATATGTTCTCTGTATTCCCTCTATTTCAGCAATCTCTCCTGCTCTGAAGGGGGAAGTGACGGGACAACACAAGTGACTTGAAGAGTACAACCATTGTGATGGGATCCCTGGATTTAAAAGTTCTCGTAATACATCCTATCATTTTTCGTAATATTTGCTTGGTTATGCTCCCTAAACGTTAGGTCGTCGGACATCATTATTCCCAAATCCTTGACATGCTGCTTTCCTACTATGGGCAGATTTGATTGTGTTTTGTACCCTGTATTATGTTTAAGGTCCTCAGTTTTACCGTACCTGAGTACCTGGAATTTATCACTGTTAAACATCATGCTATTTTCTGCTGCCCAATCGAAAACTTCATTAATATCGGCTGGTAGTTTATCAATGTCTTCTACAGAAGTAATTTGCATGCTGATTTTTCTCCTCTGCAGGTAGGTAGGTAGGTATAGGGAATGGGTGGGTGTGGGTGGAGCTGCAGGTGTGGGTGGAGCTGCAGGTGTGGGTGGAGCTGCAGGTGTGGGTGTGGCTGTAGGCAAGAGTTTAGGTATGGGTGTGGGTGTAGGTATAGCCTCAAGGTAGATAGGTAGGCGAGTTTATGGGTGTGGCAGCGAGCTAGGGGGGTGTGGGTGTAGTAGAATTCTGGAAAGTGAGAAGAGGTAAACCAAAGGTAAAGGGCACCTGAAGGAGCATTCCCAGGAGCGTGTGGAGGGTGAGACTGGAGCATACGACCGTCCATGTAGCCAGGAGGAGGGGCCAGCAGCGGGTGCCAGGGTATGGGTGCCAAAGGCGACGCGAGGGTGGGAATAGAGGGGACCGTTGTTCAAGTAAAGAGAGGGGAAGGGTAGCCACGCTGCCGCTCTCCCCTCGCCCATTTCCCCTCCCCAACCATCACCACTGCTCCTGATATACAGAGTATTCCAGGACCCCATAAACCGCCAGACTCAGCACTCCAAATACGAACAGAAACCCAGGAATTAATAATTGAAATTAAACAAAAACGATAAAGAAACCGCAATAAAGGTGAGAAAAATGGCCAAAATAAACACAAAAGTGGCAAATAACATTAACCACCAAACAGCCCCCCCCCCAAAAAAAAAAAAATTTTTTTTAGCAAACCTGAAAATAAAATAAAAATAATAGAAGAGTCGTGGGTATGAAGGCTGAGGGAGGACGAGGAGAGGACGCCCAATTGGGGTCAAATGCACCGATGATTTTGATGGACAAAACCAGGGAAAAGAAATATATATATATTTGGAGGGTTAAAATCGTGGGTGTGCCGGGGTGGAGGCGGCCGCCCTCTGGTGGGGCGGGCAAGCTCCGTCACACACGGGAGCTTCAGCTTGTAATAGCATAGACAAGAGTGAAGGATTTGGGGGTCACAAGTGGTGGTGTTGGTGTGTGGTGGTGTTGGTGTGTGGTGGTGTTGGTGTGTGGTGGTGTTGGTGTGTGGTGGTGTTGGTGTGTGGTGGTGTTGGTGTGTGGTGGTGTTGGTGTGTGGTGGTGTTGGTGTGTGGTGGTGTTGGTGTGTGGTGGTGGTGTTGGTGTGTGTGGTGGTGTTGGTGTGTGGTGGTGTTGGTGTGTGTGGTGGTGTTGGTGTGTGGTGGTGTTGGTGTGTGGTGGTGTTGGTGTGTGGTGGTGTGTGGTGGTGTTGGTGTGTGGTGGTGTTGATTGTGTGGTGGTGTTGATTGTGTGGTGGTGTTGGTGTGTGGTGGTGTTGGTGTTGGTGTGTGGTGGTGTTGATTGTCTGGTGGTGTTGATTGTGTAGTGGTGTTGATTGTGTGGTGGTGTTGATTGTGTGGTGGTGTTGGTGTGTGGTGGTGTTGATTGTGTGGTGGTGTTGGTGTGTGGTGGTGTTGGTGTGTGGTGGTGTTGGTGTGTGGTGTTGATTGTGGGGTTTTCTAGCGTGGTTTGATAGTGCTGATTGTAAGTATCAACTGGCGTTGATCACTGTGCTGCTGCTGCTCCTGCTTCTGGGCTAGATTTCGCGATGGCACTGGTATCGGGTCTATTGGCACAAGTGCTGGCACTGATAAATGTGGCACCGGTGATACTTGGCACTCACGATAGGTAGTCAGCGGCGGTAGTGAACACTGCAATCCCCCAATCACCACCACTCTATAAAACAACCACTACCCCCTCACGGCATTAACAACGACCACCCCAACCACCACCACCAGCACCTGGTGCCAGAGGGAAAATAGGGGAAGGAGGGAGGGAGGGAGAGAGAGCTAGAGAGAGGGAGAAAAAGAGAGGGAGAGAAATTAGAGTTGCCATTTCACACCACACGATCAAGCCACCCAGAATTTAATCCCCCCTAGTGATTAAACCTCAATATACCGTTCAACGCTAGTTTGCAGCGCCTACGCGAGGTCAAGATAACGAAAATAGCCCATTTTGAACAAATGAGAAATTTGAGAGGCGGGGTTTTCAGCGCTGATTAAAATAGGAGGAGAGACTTTTGAACCCACGAGGACTACTCCAAGGCTCTCCCATGTTGGCACTATGGGAGGGGTGGGGGGGAGGGGGGGAGAGACATGGAGCTCCGCCACCCTGCTGATTGAATGCCAGTTGCAGATTCCTATTACATAAATTGGATCAATTACAACAAATCGCCTTAAGCCGACCCCAGGCAAATTAGTAAATCAGTCAGATATTAGTGCACCATGATAATCACTAGTCCTCCCCTTCCTTCTCCCCTTCCTCGCTCCCTCTCTCTCTCTGTCCCCTACCTTCCCCCCTCCCTCTCACTGCCCCCTACCCTTCCACCCTTCCTCTCTGCCCCCCACCCAATCTTCACATCCCCCAATCCTCAAACATCCTCGATTTCGTCTCCTTTCCCCTCTGTACTCTCTCACTTCAACGTTACCTCCCTCCCCCTTCAACGTTACCTCCCTCCCCCTTCAACGGTACTCCCTCCCCCTTCAACGTTACCTCCCTCCCCCTTCAACGTTACCTCCCTCCCCCTTCAACGTTACCTCCCTCCCCCTTCAACGTTACCTCCCTCTTCAACGTAACCCTTCCCCCTTCAACGTAACCCCTCCCCCTTCAACGTAACCCCTCCCCCTTCAACGTAACCCCTCCCCCTTCAACGTAACCCCTCCCCCTTCAACGTAACCCCTTCCCCTTCAACGTAACCCCTCCCCCCTTCAACGTAACCCCTCCCCCTTCAACGTAACCCCTCCCCCTTCAACGTAACCCCTCCCCCTTCAACGTAACCCCTCCCCCTTCAACGTAACCCCTCCCCCTTCAACGTTACCTCCCTCCCCCTTCAACGCATGGTATTCCTCACCCAGTCCCCAAACGATACCCTTCTCCATCAATTGTCTCAGCCCTATCCATCACACACCCCCCCCCCCCCCCCCCCCACCCCCCATGGCCCCCGAGTGCCACAAAAAAACTTAAGAGGTGCAGAGTGACTCATTTACATACACGTGTTGCTTGCATCTTGCCCCCTCCCCCCACCCCCCGCTCCCCCCTCCCCCCTCCCCCCGCTCCCCCCCCTCCCTTCCTTTTCCCCTGACAAAGTCAATACCCCCAGACTTTAGCACCACCTTGGCTACTGAAGGGGAAGGGCTGTAGGGGTATTCTGTCATGCGCTACATAAAACACTCCAGACGGGCGATCCCCCCCCCCTGAAATCTCCACCTTCCTTCTAATTACGACATACCTATCCCCTATCCTATCTATATTGTATGCAATGTTCCAGCCTATTCGGCGATTTTTTTTTATCCCAAACCGCATCTGCAAGCTTCCTTTTACCCTACTTCTGCACCTTTGGGGGAGGGGGGGGGGGGACTCCCAATTTTCACAACTGACAGCAATACTCTATGCTATTGTTATTACAGTTGCGATACTCAGTTATTGCGATACTAAGTTATTGCGATACTCGGTTACTGTAATACCCAGTTATTGCGATACTCAGTTATTGCAATACTCAGTTATTGCAATACTCAGTTATTGCAATACTCAGTTATTGCGATACTCAGTTATTGCAATACTCAGTTATTGCGATACTCAGTTACTGTAATACTCAGTTATTGCGATACTCAGTTACTGTAATACTCAGTTATTGCGATACTCAGTTACTGTAATACTCAGTTATTGCGATACTCAGTTACTGTAATACTCAGTTATTGCGATACTCGGTTACTGTAATACTCAGTTATTGCGATACTCAGTTACTGTAATACTCAGTTATTGCGATACTCAGTTATTGCAATACTCAGTTATTGCAATACTCAGTTATTGCGATACTCGGTTACTGTAATACTCAGTTATTGCAGGTTGTTGCTAAACCTTGTTTACTAACCCATCATGAGATCCATTATGAAGTGTTGTATTCGCACTCAAGGAAGATGCAAGGCTCCATAACATTATAATTTTCCTACCGCACTTCGGTAACCTCTTTACAGAACTCCATCAAGTTTGCCAAGCATGACTTTTTCCCCCCTTTCCTGAGGTCTGTTCTCACCTAGTGTGAAAGAATCTTCCTGTGCAGGCCAAGGTAGGAAGGATCTTCCTGTGTAAGCCAAGGTAGGAAGGATCTTCCTGTGTAAGCCAAGGTAGGAAGGATCTTCCTGTGTAAGCCAAGGTAGGAAGGATCTTCCTGTGTAAGCCAAGGTGGGAAGGATCTTCCTGTGTAAGCCAAGGTAGGAAGGATCTTCCTGTGTAAGCCAAGGTGGGAAGGATCTTCCTGTGTAAGCCAAGGTAGGAAGGATCTTCCTGTGTAAGCCAAGGTAGGAAGGATCTTCCTGTGTAAGCCAAGGTGGGAAGGATCTTCCTGTGCAGGCCAAGGTAGGAAGGATCTTCCTGTGTAAGCCAAGGTGGGAAGGATCTTCCTGTGTAAGCCAAGGTAGGAAGGATCTTCCTGTGTAAGCCAAGGTAGGAAGGATCTTCCTGTGTAAGCCAAGGTAGGAAGGATCTTCCTGTGTAAGCCAAGGTAGGAAGGATCTTCCTGTGTAAGCCAAGGTAGGAAGGATCTTCCTGTGTAAGCCAAGGTAGGAAGGATCTTCCTGTGTAAGCCAAGGTGGGAAGGATCTTCCTGTGCAGGCCAAGGTGGGAAGGATCTTCCTGTGCAAGCCAAGGTAGGAAGGATCTTCCTGTGCAGGCCAAGGTGGGAAGGATCTTCCTGTGCAGGCCAAGGTGGGAAGGATCTTCCTGTGCAAGCAAAGGTAGGAAAGATCTTCCTGTGCAGGCCAAGGTGGGAAGGATCTTCCTGTGCAAGCCAAGGTAGGAAGGATCTTCCTGTGCAGGCCAAGGTGGGAAGGATCTTCCTGTGCAAGCCAAGGTGGGAAGGATCTTCCTGTGCAAGCCAAGGTGGGAAGGATCTTCCTGTGCAGGCCAAGGTAGGAAGGATCTTCCTGTGCAAGCCAAGGTGGGAAGGATCTTCCTGTGCAGGCCCCGAGCCTGTTAACTGGCCTGCTACGGTACTGTAGACGAGGTAGGGTTTCTTGAGGTTATCTTGAGATAATTTCGGGGCTTAGCGTCCCCGCGGCCCGGTCCTCGACCAGGCCTCCTTTTTGTTACACACATCCAGGAAGCAGCCCGCAGCAGCTGTTTAACTCCCAGGTACCTATTTACTGCTAGAGGTAAGAAAAGGTAGAGGTAAGGTAAGAAACTTGACTAACTAGATGTGACAAAGTCAGTATTACCAGACTTGGTATCACCCTGGCTGCTGAAGGAAGCTGCAGAGATACTTCCTCACCCACTTACTAAAATTTCAAATAAAACACTTGAGACAGGGGAGCCAGATTCACGAAGCAGTTACGCAAGTACTTACGAACGTGTGCATCTTTCCTCAATCTTTGACGGCTTTGTTTACAATTATTAAACAGTTAATGAGCGCCGAAGCATCATGAGGCTGTTTATAACAATAATAAAAGTTGATTGGCAAGTTTTCATGCTTGTAAACTGTTTAATAAATGTAAACAAAGCCGTCAAAGATTGAGGAAAGATGTACACGTTCGTAAGTACTTGCGTAACTCCTTCGTGAATCTGGCCCAGGAAATCTAGAATTCAATCAACTCACCCACCCCCTCCCCCTTCTATGTCCCGTTTTTCTGAATGGTTACAGCTTCTGTTCCACATTTACCCATACCTTACCTTGAGGTTACCTTGAGGTGCTTCCGGGGCTTAGCGTCCCCGCGGCCCGGTCGTCGACCAGGCCTCCCCGAACATAAACACAGTTTCATTTCAGTGTACATCGTCACTACACACAATCCACATCACTATGTGACCTTACTTTTTGGTTACATCATTAACTACTGTTTCAAAATTAACATCACTTGATCAATTCAACTGTAGTCGAGACAAATTAGAAAATAACATATCGCTAACTCAATTAAACAATTGAGTTTGCGATAATTGAGACATATTTGTTTCTTAAAATAGCAGAATTATACTTAATTTACTTAATTTGCATCTGGATGTTATCTGGAGATGATTTCGGGGCTTTAGTGTCCCCGCGGCCCGGTCCTCGACCAGGCCTCCACCCCCAGGAAGCAGCCCGTGACAGCTGACTAACACCCAGGTACCTATTTTACTGCTAGGTAACAGGGACATAGGGTGAAAAGAAACTCTGCCCATTGTGTCTCGCCGGCGCCTGGGATCGAACCAAGGACCACAGGATCACAAGTCCTGCGTGCTGTCCGCTCGGCCGACCGGCTCCCTTGTATACTTAATTTGCATATGACAACTTTAATTCATTAATTATTAATTAATTTAAATAATTTTAATTAATTTTAATTATTTAATTTATTAATTTATTAAATTAATTAAATTAATTGTCGTTTCTTCATCTTCTGACGTGTGGGTCATCATGTCTTCAGCCCCGTTATTGTGACTCATCATCTGCTTCATTTGCATATCCTCGAGTTTGCATCTTGCATGAAAATGTATTTTTATATAATTAACACAAGTGTTGTGCAACCGGTAGATGCAGCGAATACATTTGATGATTGATAATTATTGAGACATGCTTTATGGGCAAGTTAATTACTGGACTCCTGGGACCTGATTCACGAAGCAGTTATGCAAGCACTTACGAACGTGTACATCTTTCCTCAATCTTTGACGGCTTTGATTATATTTATTAAACAGTTTACATGACTGAAAACTTGCCAATCAACTGTTGTTATTGTTATAAACAGCCTCCTGGTGCTTCGGAGCTCATTAACTGTTTAATAATTATAAACAAAGCCGCCAAAGATTGAGAAAAGATGCACTGGTTCGTAAGTGCTTGCGTAACTGCTTCGTGAATCTGGCCCCAGGCAGTCTAGATGATCAGCTGATGCGACGCTGCCACATTTGAATGTTCCAAAACTAATATCCTAAGTTAAGGTAGCCAGCTTTTAAACTATGTGCAACATTGTAGGAATAAATGTTTAGTTGAATATTATAAGAGGTTGACTTGCTAGTGGTAAGTGTTGGATCTTGTAAGGAGTGCGAGGAAAGTCAATAAACATAGATCTGGCAACGCTGTGTCTAGAGGAATGGGTCTTTAGCTCCTCAGCCCTTTAAATTTCAGTAGTCGTTTGGATTTCATGGAGGTGGGAAGTGCCGTCTGGTGAGCTGCTGTTATGTTATGTTGTTTAAGATTCGCTACTTGGAACAAAAAGTTCCAAGTAGCACGGGCTATGGTGAGCCCGTAGTGGACTTGAGCTGTTGATTCTTGATAAGTATACCCTTTATTGTTGGCAATGCTTACCACATGAGGCCCTGATAATCCTATACAGTTACACTGTTATATACTGGAGTGAATAATTCATAGTCACATCATTTTTATAACAACTTTTGCAACAAAAATTGTTGGCATTTTTTATATTACTATAAATTTGGCCCTTTTTTAAAAAAAAAGGGAATCGTGGGTGCTCAATAGGTTTTTTAATTTATAAAATAATTTAAAAATAGGTAATTTAGGTTTTGTTGTGGCTATTGCTTGCAGCAGTTTAATTTGCAGGCATTTTGGCAATTGTATTTGCTAAATTATTGATTATTTTCTGCACCTGTTCCCCCAAGTGCACCTGTTGTTAACTTTATTGTTTCGATCTTCCTTATTGAGTATCGAGTCCATTTAGAATGAGTTCTTATTGATTTGGCAATGGTCCACGGACCTTTAGAACACCGGCCACTTCTCTCAGTAAGGTGTAGTGCACCAGTGTAGAAGTGAGGTGGGGAGCAAAGGTCTAGTTTCTGGTTTATTATAAGTAATTGGCAAACAGCTCGTCTTGTACACCAACACAGGTAGCGGGGTACACCAGATACACCCAGCGGGGCCCACACCAAAACAGGTAGCGGGGTACACCCAGGGGCCCACACCAACACAGGTAGCGGGGTACACCAGATACACTCAGGGCCCACACCAACACAGGTAGCGGGGTACACCAGATACACCCAGGGCCCACACCAACACAGGTAGCGGGGTACACCCAGGGGCCCACACCAACACAGGTAGCGGGGTACACCCAGGGACCCACACCAACACAGGTAGCGGGGTACACCCAGGGCCCCACACCAACACAGGTAACACAGGTAGCGGGGTACACCCGGCCACACACCAACAGAGGTAGCGGGGTACACCCAGGGACCCCACACTAACACAGGTAGCGGGGTACACCCAGGGGCCCACACCAACACAGGTAGCGGGGTACACCCAGGGCCCCACACTAACACAGGTAGCGGGGTACACCCAGGGGCCCACACCAACACAGGTAGCGGGGTACACCACCTACACCCAGGGCCCACACCAACACAGGTAGCGGGGTACACCACCTACACCCAGGCCCCCACACCAACACAGGTAGCGGGGTACACCCAGGGCCCACGCCAACACAGGTAGCGGGGTTCACCACCTACACCCAGGGCCCCACACCAACACAGGTAGCGGGGTACACCCAGGGCCCACACCAACACAGGTAGCGGGGTACACCCAGGGCCCACACCAACACAGGTAGCGGGGTACACCCAGGGCCCACACCAACACAGGTAGCGGGGTACACCCAGGGCCCACGCCAACACAGGTAGCGGGGTACACTACCTACACCCAGGGCCCCACACCAACACAGGTAGCGGGGTACACCACCTACACCCAGGGCCCCCACCAACACAGGTAGCGGGGTACACCACCTACACCCAGGGCCCCACACCAACACTGGTAGCGAGGTACACCACCTACACCCAGGGCCCCCTCACCAACACAGGTAGCGGGGTACACCACCTACACCCAGGGGCCCACACCAACACAGGTAGCGGGGTACACCACCTACACCCAGGGGCCCACACCAACACAGGTAGCGGGGTACACCACCTACACCCAGGGCCCCACACCAACACAGGTAGCGGGGTACACCCAGGGGCCCACACCAACACAGGTAGCGGGGTA